TGTTTGGACACAGTAGCTCATACATCACAAAGGTATATTGCGATAACAAAGGATAGAAATATGAATTGTAATAATAAGTTCAAAATAACTAAGTTTAAATATTATTTTCAGGTAATTTTTTTTCATCATTTGCCTCCTGTAACTAGACTTTTTGATGTATTTTTTACTCTGTTGCATCTCACATTTTGCTGCTAATTTTCCACAGTAATTTGTCAAATGTAAGTTAAGATAAAAGCTTCCATAAAAGTAGCCATTTTATACAACAAAAGGACCCTTTCCTGACCTACATAATGCTGAATGCTATCAGGATTCCCAAGGCCTGATGTGTGAAAGCTCTGTGGGCAATTAACTGAATGCTCTTTGTTAATAGATCCGCAGTAGGTCTCACTTGCTCATCAATACGGGGGGAGGGTTTTATTTCCATTTGATGCTTACTGAAAAGGCTGGGATGTTTATCTAGCTTCACATCAATGGGCCTTTTCTAGCGGGGGAGCCACAGGACTTTATTACAAATTTAAATCTCTGGATGTGTCAACAGCTGAGCCAACACAGCACAGTCAGTTTTACGTGTAAAGTAACCCGGCTGTGAACTGTTTATTATAACTGACCTACAGCTAAACTTCACATGTAGCTGTTTCAGAATGGGGGTGGGTTTTCAGGCAGCACATGCAATTTCAATGGAGTTTCTACTGTAAACATGAGGATTCAGTTGTAAGCTCGTCCTAATTCACATAGGTTTAAATGCACAACAGTGTGTATAGTCAAAACATGTATTAACATGTTTGACACAGCAATGCCTTTTGTTAAAATGGCTTACAAAGGACATTTTTGTAAAGTGGTACTACAGAGTTATTGGTCTTTAAACATAAATTTTCAGCATATGGTGCATTTATTGCTAAAGAGGTTTAACAATAACAATAATTTTTCATAGGTGGGTAAATCTTTTAATTTTGGGATGCTAGCTTTATGACTTTTTTCTACTAAATATTTTAAATATATGAGAGTTAATAGTATTTGGGGTTTCTAAGGCTAAACAAGGCATTTGATTGCTCAGTGTATATATGTAACTTTAATATATAAAAATGCAATGTACAAATATAGCCCTAAAGTAATTGTTTCATCCAGTTGCCATGCATCCATTTCCTTTTATTCCTTTTTTTTTTTTTTTCCAATACCAGGTCCTTGGATTGGTCATACAATAGCCACTCTGTCCCACATATCCGTTTGACCTAAATCTGCACATACAACATACATGAATTGAAATATCATGTAAAAAATTAAAAAGCCTACTCTTGATGTAATCGTGAAGACAGACCATTATTGAAATGTCACTATTTTCCACCTATCACCATTGATTTAGCTGCTTGCATCACTGTGGTGCGTTGGCGTGACAATAACCCCTCAGCAGGCGTTTCCACACAGTTGCACACACTCTGCCCTCCGCTCACATTTTTAACCTTTAACTGTCATGTTAAGGGGGAGGTGATGGAGGAATAACATGGTACATTAGAGTACCTAATGAGCAAAGGCCTTATTCATTACTGTGCACAGCATCAGACTCTTGGTGAATGTAGGGGAAGTGGTGGTAAATGTAGTTTAGGCCATTGAAATGAACAGGAATTTAGTGCACATGCATGTGCTTGTATGCAGCTTCATACTTGTTAATATTTTCAAATGAAGGGAATGTGAAAAGTGTGTTATGACTTTTGTCTATTGAAACATGATTGCTTATAGTGATTTTTTTTTTGTGTTAGGTTTGTGCTTCAGTGTGTCTAATAAATCAATTACTTTGCGTTAGCAGAAAGGTGGTGCTATCTGGGCTGAAGAAAGTGACGGAGGCAAAGCAAGGGGGGAACCATCAAGGGACTTTGCAAAGGTCAGTGGGCTGAGTAAATATACAGTTGGCAAACAAGAAAATGTCTTAAAATAGCTGTTTCTAACTTGTTTTTTCCTCTTCTTCCAGCTTTATGAACTGGACAATGATCCTCAGAGAAAAGAATTTTTGGATGAGTTGTTTGTCTTTATGCAAAAACGAGGTAAAAGACACCACATTTTGGTCCATATATGTATTTTGTATGTTGGCATCTGACAGGGCTCTAATCATTACTAAAGACTGAACATTATTCTTTTCATACAACAAAATACTTGCAAAATGTATATGATATGATTTACTGGATAGTAAAATAACTGAAATCACCATTATTTATGAGTGTCAGAAAATGCACAGGTTAAATATAACGACGAGATAAAGGACAAGATAATATGCCTTCATATTAAAAATGCAATTTCTCTTCCTCAGCTTCAGAATAAAAAGTTGAATGAACCGAAATGCAAATTGCAATCGTTAAGTCTAACATTGAACTTAATGACTAAAGTATGGTATGTGTCCAGACAGTAGACCCAGTCTTTGAGAAAGGGTCATGGCTCGGTCAGACTAAGAGCGCATATGCTTCTTGTGCTTTTTAAGCACAAACTAATCTTATTCCTACCACTGCTCTCAGCCTTTTCATTAATTGGTTTTCGTCCAAATCGGGATTGTAAAGGTTAGCTGTCAATGCTCTGATTGGCAGATCTCCCCTTCCCCCAGCTCTCAAATCAATGCAGCCATAGAGCTCCACACTGTTGAATTAGCCCCACCCCCTCCATCACTCCATCTGAAATAGGCTTTATTAGCAGACTATATCCAAGCAGATTATACATGCTTAGCCATTTTACTCAACATTAACCATGGGCTTTCGCAGGATAATTCATTATTACTGTGAAACTTCTTTATTTACATGTTGTTGTTTAGGTTTTTTCTGTAATCACTAAATCATATGTGTAGAATTTCCTAGTACTTCTTTTTGTCTGTTGCATTTATAGCCTTTTTTTTTTTTTAAAAAGTAAAAATTCAATGTAGCACTTCATGTCATCAGGTTTAGTGACCCCCAAGGCCAATAGCAAATGTAAATCAACATATTTTCTTCATACAGGAACCCCAGTGAACCGCATTCCCATCATGGCCAAGCAAGTGCTGGACCTGTACAAACTTTATAAACTGGTGACAGAGAAAGGAGGCCTGGTGGAAGTTATAAACAAGAAGATCTGGAGAGAGATCACTAAAGGACTCAACCTGCCAACCTCAATCACAAGTGCTGCCTTCACTCTACGCACACAGTAAGTTTAAGTACAGGAATCTGCAAATATATGTATACAGACACAGGGTTTACATTTAATTTCACCTCTTTCTTTCTTTACATTAATTTCTTGCTACCAATCCTAACCTTAACCATACTCACTATTTGCCTAAAATAAGCCCCAATCATAATCTATTTCTATTAATAAAGGATTTACATCATGGGGGCCCCATAAGGTTACCAGGTCCCCATAAATTGAGTGTATTTTCAGATTTTAGTCCCTACAATGTGATAAATAATTAGAACTATGACACTCCCTTTTCTTTGCAGGTATATGAAGTACTTATATCCATTTGAGTGCGAGAAGAAGGGTCTGAGCTCTCCTGTGGAGCTTCAGGCTGCCATTGACAGTAACCGCAGAGAGGGCAGACGTCCCAGTTACACCAACAGCTTGTACCGCTATTCCCCCTCCCCAGGGTCTGCCCCCCACGCCCTGCTCACCTCACCCACCCTCCAGGCCACTCCGACCGGGCACAATGGCATCAGCGCTTCTGCAAGCCCCAATCTCAAGAGAAGTGCAGGTAAATAGTTTCATCATTCTGCTGTAGCATTTTTTTCTCGCATACACTGGCAACTGTAGGTTATGCAAGTTTAATTTTTCTATACAAAACTAAATTGTTTGAAGAACCATACTAGTATAACATGAAAAAAATCTCTGCTTGTCTCCATTTGCTTGTCTCCTGTGAATGACCAATGAAATTTCTGTCTGCTAAATCAACCATTTCGCTCAGCCCTGCGAGATGACTGCTGTTGTGATTTTGGATTATACAAAAATAAATTGAATTGTTTTTTCTTCTCTTCATTAGAAGAAGCTACACCTTCTCTGCTCCCTGCTCGGCTGCCCATGGCCCTCGCCCTGGGGCAGCAGCAGCAGCAGTTGGCGCAGGCTGCAACTCTGGAGCACCTTAGGGAGAAGCTGGAGCGCGGAGCTGGAGGAGCGCAAGACGGTCCAGAGAAGAAGATGATACGATTGGCCGAGGAGCAACAGCGCCTCATGCAACAGGCCCTACAGCAGAATCTCCTGGCCATGGCCTCCCATTTCAAACCTATGAACCTCAAGCTCAATAATGGCCAGGGTCAGTTACTTTGTTGCATGGAAACTTAAAGGTGCATTGTGTAACTTTTCTGGTGATGGGTCTGTCAAATGCTTTTCTTCGTGAAGATGTTATTACTTCATCTGAAATGTTTCAGAGTATGACATTACATTTTTCTGTCTTTATGGAGACCAAACCAGACCAAGTTACAGGTTTGTCATAGAACTACCTGTAATTTAATAAATGTGAGGTATAGCTGTTTAATGTCATATTGTGGAGCATTACAGGCAGAGCAGTTACATATTCATAGAAACAAGAAGGTGACAGACCCCAGCTTAAGAAGTTACATAGTACATAGTCGTGAAAATAGTGAATCTTACTGATTAAAATGTTGTTCTTGTTTTTTGTTTGTTTTGTGTTTACTTACAGACAATAAGCAGGACATGTCCTTCTCCATCTCCACTAATGGGTCAGCCAGTATCAGTGTGTCAGTGGAGGTCAACGGCACAGTTTACTCAGGTAAAAGAAACCAAAAACATCTTGATAAGATAACTTTAACTTGCAATAGAAAATGGGAAAAAAAAATATATATGTTTCATCGTGGCCTTTGTTTAGTCAGCAATTTTGCCAACAAAAATCTAACAAAATTAGTAAAATGCAGTCGCTAAATAACTGAATGTGAGCATTAATGGGTGAAAAATATCAGAAAATATAGTAGTTTGTGATGTGTCGTAAAAAGTCATCATAATCCACAATAATGCAGTCACATAAACTATATATTGGTACCCATCTCAAGCTTGCCTGTTGCTTATTATTGATACATTTTATTTGTCTCTTTCAGGTACCCTTTATGCCCAGAAGGCGTCAGCTCCTCCCGTGGCCTCACAAACAGTCACTGCAGCAGGCACCAGCGGATTCAGTGCCCTCTCCTCTAACCTATCCCCCTCCTCTTCCTCTTCACCCTCCTCCTCCAAGGGACCCAACTAAATCTCACCCACAAATAACTTAACATACCTCTCTTGTCAGATAACCACGCAACCTCAACTTTACAATGTTCAAGTGGCTTCCCTCTCAGGAAATGTTTTCTTTATCTAATATTTATAGCAATGATTTTGTATTTTTTTTCTCTCATAGCTATTTTATTTTGCAAAGGGAAGCAAGTCAGAGACCAAACAGTTACATCTGAACAAGATATGCGATTCAAATCGATTTCAAGTGCACAGTCTGAATGTAACTCTTCAATATTCAGGGGATCTCTTCTAGTTGTGATATATTAACCTCAAATCATCAAAGCTTCAGGTATCAGATTGCCATATAGTGCCTGGTCAGAGTTTTAATGTAGTGGCATTGTTTTCTAAAGGGCTGTCCTGATTGGTCAGAATTGTCTGTAGAGAACAAAAGAGAAATTCAATCTGGATGTGTAGGTGTCAACTACTTTAACAGCTTGGTTTATGATACAGTTCTTGTCAATAGAACAATGAGGTCTCCAAAGTGTAGCTAACAAAGACCAAAAAGCCTTATTTCCTGTCTCCTCTTATGTGTGTATATATATATATATATATATATATATATATATATATATATATATATATATATATACATATATATATATATATATATATATAATATATACACCATTAAGTGTCCCTGTTAACTTGGCGTGTTTAAGGCAATCTTAGTCATGTTCACAACCTATTTCTGCAAAACTTTGTACATAAAAAGTGAAATCAAGAGTGTTGGTGGAATTGGTTAATGGATTTTTATAATATTTTTTGGTTTGGTTTTTGATATTGCACTAATGATTTGACTTGGCCTCAATATATACTCAAAAATATGTCTTAGTTTTGTCTGTAATCAAAAAGGCAAGAGGATTGGGTTTTTGATACACAAGGTTTCTTCTGAATGTAGATGTAACAATGTACCTCAGTTTATGCAGCGCTCAGGAAGTTTTACCGTTCACTGTTATACTATATACTGCTGATGTATTTTATAAAGACAGGGAATGTGTCCTTAATAATAAAATAACCTCATTTATTTACACACTCTGAAACAGTGCTACCTCACACTTCTAGAGAAATATGCAATACTTTTCAGCAGCATTTGTTTGTTGGCTAAAAGTAAACTGTAAGTGGACAATCAAGATGACATATCATTGCAAATGTCACTGTGAAATATATAGAGAACCTTATGTAACCTCAGTTTTGTCACAATTATAATGTATTTCTTGGACCTGCCTGTGGCCATGAATAAAACAATCGTGTGTGCTGTTGGTATGCTGTGTCATGTTTTTCTTTAAAAAAAATTAGGCATTGGCTTAATTTGTTCCCCTGTAAGATTTTGTTTTTGAGTAAATTATCTAAAAAATAATTTTGGAGAATTCTATTTATCAGAGACAATTTTATTGGTACATCATGTGTTTTTTTGCTGTAGTTGTTGGCCTATTCTGCTGTCACATTAGTCCAAAACTCCACCAGGAAAAACTGATTCAAATCAAGCAATGAGTATAAGATTATTTATTACTGGGGTTAGTAGGTCTTGTGTATGACATGAATAGCAAATATTAAATTTTAATCTAACAACATTGTGGTAAATGTGGAAATGAATGCCAATGACTCATCCTACATCTAAACCACTCTGTATGCCCTATTCATATTATTTAGTCAGAATATATTAAGGTAATGTAGAAAAGGGGATATGGAAAATGTGCCTTCAAAAGTAACAATTGTAACATCTCACATAGCCAGAAGGTGGTGCTGTTTCAATTATTCTGAAATGCATTACAGTCAGAATCACTTCGCTGAATTCTTGAACTCCAGGGACCTTAAATGTGTAGATACTCAAGTAGTTTTTGACTCAGTAATGAAATGTATTGTTTTAATTAATTTCGTACTAAATAATATTGTAATGTGATAAAAGTAGGCAATTGCATTTTCTCATATAAAAATATGTATTCACGGCTTCTTGTAATACGCAACATTTTGACTATATTCCCATTCAAAATAAATAGGTAATTGCTATGGCAGTGGTCCTAATTTGTATCATTCTGAAGCCTATGCACATTATGTAAAAGGCAAAGGCAGATAAATATTTGCATGCAGAGGTAATCCCACGCACTTGTTTTCCTAATGGACATAAGAGCTTGTGTTTCCGAGAGGAGGGGCTGGGTGGGGATTTACTTTCACTTTGATGGGGTCTATAGTGACTCTGCTATCTGCATCTGGGACGGTGGGGAAGCAAGATGCCCCAGGGCAGAGTAAGAGGTATTATGAAATGGATCTCCCCGCCCATACATGCACCCCACCCATCACGCAAGCATTATACCACCACTGTCCTACCAGAACAGATGATGCCTGTCTAGGACTTAACACCACAGCACACTAGGGGACCAACGGACTAACACTTAACCATTTTACTTTGGATCTCATTAGAAAAATGTTTTCTAATGATTCCATAATGGCATTCATTGGCCAGAATAGAAGTTACATTATGTTACTATCTGGCTGCTTTTCTTCAATGGGATGATTAGTTTTTGAATAACTCCTGGATGTTCTGACTTAGTTTTGGACATAGGCTGTTGGGACAATGCCCTACCAGGACGAGGAGTATCCAGGACAGCCACTGTGGCAGTCCGTCCTGCTGTTTTGCTGTAAGGGGATGATAGAAGGAATCATGGTTGTACTGTTCTTCTGGCTCCTGATCCAAGTCCTGTTCACCAAACAGCTTGAAAGTAAGAATCTACAAGTGGACTTTTTATCTAACAGAAGAAATTAATGCAACTTTTTTATTTAAAAGTGTTCTATATGATTCCCAACCGTAGTACCATATCACTTTAATATGTAACTTATAAACTTATTGTTGCTACTGCTACTAATACCCTCATGACAACCACTACAATACCTAATGCTATAGCTACTACAAATACTGCCAGTGCCACTATTATAACTACTACTGCAAATATTATTATTATTTCATTTATGTATCATTGTTAGGTAAAAATAGTTAAGTTGTTTCCACTTTTGCAATAGTTTTATTGACATGGATAGCACAATATTCTATCTGACCTTAAAAGCACTTAAAAAGTTATTACACTGCCCTTATGTACTGACTGGCTTAGCCTTCATGTGCCCACAGTTCATCTTCAAGTGCTGCTGCTGGTTGGCTTGGTAATCTTCTGTCTCTGCTTACTCCTGGGCTGTTTCATTTGCTGGAGAAAAAGCCACTTCTATCCATCTGAGGATAAAGAAGCTGGAACAGCCCGACCTCCAACCTCTGACCCTGTGACCTTTGCCCCAAGCCCTGCTCCTCTTGCTCCTTCCTCTGCGGTGACAGTGAACTCCAGGCAACACTATGAAGAACTGGATGGTGACATATTGGAGTACCCCTCAACATTCACCAGCCCTGACCCATCTGAGACAGAATTCAAAAATACAGACTTTAAAGAACACCCACGAACTTACTTCTCACTCCGCCGACTCAGCACGCCACACCTGTCGACACCCTCTTACAAACCTATAGATTCTAGTAGCCACACCTCACTACCTGTGTTTCCCAAATTCTTTTCCAAAAGTTGCAGAGCTGCTCAAAGACGTTGCACAGTGACTGGAGTTGGTATATATAATGAGAACAGCAGGTTAACCAGTCCTGGGACAATCTCTCCATCAATGCCAGAGGAGCCTATCCCTCTAGCGACTCTAAGTTACGGTTCAGTCTCACCAAAACCATGCCTCCACTTCACCATGGCCTTCGCCACTGAGCAACAAGCTTTGACTGTCACCATTTTGCGTATTACCGGGACAACACATGAGCTGGAGGATGTGTCAATACAGGGAAGCCTACCTCCACTCTATCCCTGTCCCATCCAGGCTACAATACAGAGCAACCAATGCATACAGCCACACACAGTCACACTGCTATTGAGGCTGAACTCTGTGCAGGAGCTCCAGCGGTGTGTCCTAAGGATACAGGTCTACATTCAGGACAACCCCACAGAAGGCAGCTCTGTCCTGGGAGAGCTGGAGACAGACTGTGCAGGACGGGACTGGAAAAATGATCAGTTAATTTACTTGACAAAAGAGCTCAACCAAACTAAAGGCGTGCTAAAATCTGGTCTTCACCCCTGAAAATGTAACATCTTACTTGTTTAATGTCCATCACATTTGCAACAAAAGCTCTATAAATGCAACATAAAAATTCTGCTTTCACATGACTGAGATTTCCCTTTGAACTTTTGCACTTTGACCTCTGTTGCCCTCTACACATCCTGATCAAAATCAGTTGCATTCAAATTCCTGCCTTCCACGCAAAACTCGACAAACTCCAGGTATAATCACACCTCTGTACGTTTATATTATACATGGTGTAGACTGTATAAATAGGATAGTGTTGCAGACTGGTATGGAGAGAACTTTCAGTGTAATATTTTGCTTTTAATGTTTAGGAGATTAAATGACGTCTTACAGGAGTCGAATGCCACAGGAGATGATCCCTTTTTTAATGACATTGTGCGTTAATCCTCCTCAATTCAAAATCCTCAGGAAATGTTTCAATCTCCTCTGATTCTCAGAGTCGACAGATGTAATCTTTGTTTGCATTAGCCGCTCATAGCATCACTTTATTTGTAGCTGACAAACATGTCAGGAATACACTGCACCATCAGATTGTATAATATCTGTTGCATGGGCAGTAAATCAGGTCAGATTGATCGGATGATGTTGTATGCTTTCATGAATATCACAATGTGCCACTATATACAATAGAATAATGTATTCAATAACTGAGATCAATTAGTTGCTTTGGTCAAATAAAAATGATTATGGAAAGTCAGGAAAATAATACAATTTTGTATATATAATAAAATAAAATAAAATATATGAAGTGTTTATTTATTGGGTGTTTCACTGTGGTAATTAAATTAAGCATATGTATAGATAATTTGAATAGTGTGCTCTAATAATAATTGACAACTGTGCATTTGCTGCAGAAGGCCATCCTCCCCTTAGAGCCCAAAATTCGGAGGGGCTGGTTTCAGTGTCTCTGAAGAGATATACCATATGTCCACTGCTGACCCAACCTCAAATGTGCATTTTCAAACTGCTGCTCAAGGGAGTTTCATATTTGCAGTGCACAGAGCTGACTGTTGAACCACACGAATCATATGTAAAACAAACAACCTGAATCAGTCAGAGGCCTTTTAAACAATTGATGCAACTTATCAAACTCACTGAAATAAAAATTGTTATTAAGTATTCAGTTATTTTATTATATCCATTATGAACAAAATAAATGGGACATGTGTAGCTTAAAGTTACAATACTGCAAAATGTTATTCTGTTTACAAATTTGTCAGATGTAGCAATGAATACATCTGAATCATGTAAATTAAAGCACACAAGTGCTTTTGTGTGCATCGCAATTCTAAAATGTGTTTCATAGATATTTCAACCTGAAGCAGCAGTTTTTTGTGAAGAGTTAGTTATAAATTTAAGTAGCACTTTGTTGTAATGTAGATGAAATAAGGTTTTAAAGCAGGCAATTCATGTCTATTTACTCCACTTCATCTTCATCAGGGCTACAGATATCAACCATCTCAACATGAAATACACCATCAGGACAGAGCAGAGGCAGGGACATCTGCACCTCACTTACATCTGTGTAGCCCTCACAGATTTTCTTCACATCAAGCCCCATTGATTGATTAGTACTTAACACGACTGCATCTGAAAATAAAAAGAAAGACAGAAAAAGTCTTAATTGTGTATTAGGTAAATGAACAGAGAAAGAGTGAAAACACAATTGAGAAAAGAAAGCCCACTAAATATTCACAAAAAGGACACAGGACACACAGATCAACTACGCTAGTTTATCACATCATGTTTCACCTTGATTGCTGATCCTCTCTGCCATTGTTGACATCTGAAGACAATTAAGTACATACTGAGAACTGGTCAAAACCTGAGGGCAGTTATATGATAGCAAAATACATAATAATATATAATCACTTTCTGTCAGTGGCATGATCCTTGATAAGTAACATTTCAATTAAGGTTCTAAACATGCTATTTTAGGACAACTACAAAAGATTTTTTGATAAAAGAGCAAAAATACTTTTTTTTTAACCATATTAGCTACTGGGACAAAGAGCTTCTCAAACAAATAAATAGCAGAATTATCATCAAGGTCAACATGCAGTAATTTCTTTCAATTACATTTCTTTCAGTGGTATTCCTTAAAAACTAACTCTTTCCATCCACTGTTTTGATGTGTCCCAGCTGAGTGGTCGACTCGTCAGTCTCAAATCGGATTATTTACAGAGCAGAAAGAGTCACATGTGCTTAATGCTGAACATACAATGCGCGTGGTCACACCCCTCCCATGTCTGTGGGCCTTTTGATTAAAGCTCTGGATTATGACTGTCTGCACATATGTGTCAGTGTAATGAATGTGGGGCGGAGCTGGTATCACTTCATATTATTCACATGACAAGATTATGCCATTTATGATTTATACATTCATGATGCCAGCAGAAGATGCATTGAAAATAATAGGAATATGTTAGAAAGCCTGTTGTGGGTGTAAAGATAATTAAGCCCTTTTGGAGTTTTGGGACTCCTTGAAGTATGTATCCCACTGAATTAACATTTAAGAGTTGTACATGCAAAAAATATACCTGTCATAACCATCTGTCTAATGTCAGCGGTTCTAAGGTCAGATCCCTGTTATGGATCAAACGCTCCAGAGTAATGATCTAATGATCATTTACCGCAGCCTTCACTTCAATTACTTGTCACTGACTCACTAGTGTTCCTTGGTTCAGCCTTATTGGATACTGACTTCTGCAGATGGGGAACATGCCAAAAGAGCAGTTTTGTTCCTAACTGACATTGTATGATTTGTATTGCACTATAAATACCACTCTGACTCAATATAACCAAGCCTCAATGATACCACAACAACACTGCATTTTATAATATACCTCCTGGTCGTCATCACCGGGCTCCTCCTCCTCAAACACAGGCATCAAACCTGTACCCTGGTGCCAGCTCCACCTATCATGCACACCCTGAAGAACACCAACAGACAGAGCAAATTAGATCATCTTGTTGCAATCAATTACATTAACTAATGCATCAGTTGATATATGACATATAAACTCGATCACATATCTTACACTTGTGCCTCTTGACATTTGAACCCAGTCTTGAGCCGATCTATCTCCAGACATCATTTCATTTTCTTCTCTTTCCTTAAACAAACTTTTTAACTATAAGCATATGAAAATCAACATTATATCAATGTTACATTAACATAGAAATGAATATTACACTTTACAGACAACTGATGGTCACAATTTCTTCTGAAACAACACCAACAAATATAAACGTTCTATAGTGGTATCTTAATCTGTGAAACACCTTAAGAGGTACCTGCTCATTGACCAATCTCCGCTGCTGCTCTGTGTCAAAATTCACTTTGCTCCTTTCTTCAGAAGAGGGCTCCTCATCTTTAGCCTGCTGAAAAGGCCACTTATAAAATAAAGTATACTTTTATTTATTTCCACATAGAATTGACCTTGAAATATCTGAAAGATTCTTACCTGCTCAAGCTGGATTTCTGTCTTTTCGCTCTCTTAAAAATATATAGAAATATAGGAAACACATTAGAAAATGACACTTGTTCAAAGTATTTTTGTATTTTTCTCCCAAACCTCACCTTTCAATTGACCCTTTAGTGACCCACTGATTTGAGCATTCGCACAGTCCTCATCAACCTCATCACATACAGTAGTTTTTATTTCCAGCTGTGAAGTGGGGGAAAAAAAAACAAGGCTCACGTTTTGGTGTCCAAAGGAGATTTTAGCCTAATGGAAATGCTTTCTATCATGCACATCCTAAGCCCCACAACAGAAGTCAGGCTGTGGCCAAAATCTGAACTGACAAAAAGTGATAATTTTATATAGAAAATAATTAAAATATTATAAAAGAAAACACAGAAATAATAATAATTAAATTATTCAGTGCAGATGCTGAGCATATCTTACCTGTTTGTTCTGATGGTTCAGAAAGTCTATATTAGGTGTTTGTGATTTTAGACAGGACCTGAAAGAAATCATAACTATTTAAGTATTGTAACAAAGCATTAAACTGATATAACTTAATGAACTTACTCCGTCATTGTCTCTCTGTCCTGGGTTTGGGCCAAGTCAGCTCCTGCAATTAAAATAACAAAATACTTTAGCGTCCCCTAGTGACAGAGTTATGCCGTCTCAAAGCCAGTTTACCATCTTTGTTCTTTTTGTTCAGCAATGCTTGACTTCTGGTTTTCATCAGCTCCAGTTCTTGTTTACAGGCATTAAGCTCAAGCCTAACATATGACTCAGATTCATTCTATAAATAAAATAAAAAATAAAGGTATTCAAATATTTAGAACTGGCTTTATTTCATTCATTCAGCTTACTTTGTTTTTCCTCCTCAGTTCCTCTAGCTCAGCTTCAGCAGACTGTAATGTCAAAGCCACTTTCTGCCATTTGTCTGTCCAATGGGAGACCATGACCTTCAGTTCCTCGATGTGCTGGACTCTACTTGCGTCTATTCTACGATAATTCTCCTCCTGTAGTTTCAGCTGCTGCTCCTTTTCAAAGACCGCAGTCTCCAAAAATAAACAATGATCCTGTTGTCTCTGCTTTTCAAATGTTAAAGATCTTGAAGACTCTCTATTCAAAGGGAAAGAATTAAAAAGGATTTGATTCAATATTTGTAATGACATTAAAATGTACCTAAAATGTTAAACAATTGATATTTTAGACAAAAATTTGTTGCTACATTTGCATAAAATTAAATAACTGTTTTACTTTAAAGAGATCAATTCTATGTGCTGGTAAGTTTGTAATATTTCTATATCTATTATATATCTATAATATGCACACCAATTGTGTTTTATGCCTGACCTGAGCTGTTTTATTTGTTCCTCTAGTTCCTCCAGACTTTCTTGTCCACAGGTCTGAATTTTGTTCCTCAGTGCGGCGCATTCTGTCTCCAAATCTAAAATCTGTTGAGATTTTGAGCTCTTCTCTACTGTCAACTCTTCAACTTCAAACTGGGATTTATTGAGTGTCTGCTTTATCTCTTCAAGCTCATTTGACAGATCTTCATTTATCTGTTGAGAAAAATATAAAGGCATACAAATATTGTGACTTGATAAATGCTTTATTGAAAGGATGGCAGTACACTTCAACCTTTCTCAAAGCTGCTATTTCTTGATTCAGCTTTGTAGTTTCCTGATCATCCATGTGATCGAGTCCATTTTGCTGCTGTGAACCCTCTGTACTTTTAGTATTTTTCTCCAACTGCAGCTCCAGAATATTCACCTTTTCCTGCAAATCGGCCTTCTCCTGTAATAGTGAAAAAACATAAAACTGATTACCCTTTATATCTATGACTGATTTATCATCAATCATCAGAGTGACATAACACCCTCAAAAATATAGAAAAGACATAAAAAATTACACCCATATATAAAGCTCTTGCAAAGACGATTGCTAACCATTCTCTCTCTGGGTACATTAAAACCATACAGATACAAAACAAGCTATACGTGTTATTTATTTATTTATTGTTTTACCTTAGTCAAGTCATCTTTCTCATGCTGTGCTGCTTTAAGTTTTGTATTTTGCTCAAGCACAGTGACCTCTAGTTTTAACACTTGAGTGGACAATGTTGCTTTTTCCTGAAACATAACACAGACGCCTAAAAATATGTTCTAGAAAATACCTTTGTTATATTGTATATTCTCTTACTACTAACCAGACATGCTTGGCTTATCTTGTTATTGGCTTCCCTGAGTTGATCCTGCAGTTCAGTCTGGTTTTGCAGAGTCTGCGTCAGTTTCTGGTTCAGCTCTGTTGTTTGATTCAGAAGTGTCTTTTGGGTCTATTAATCAAAATATATAACTTCAGCATTAATTTCATGAATTAAATTGGAAATACAGTATCAACCTTACATTTAAAAATTCACAACAAATCATAATTTTGATGATCCGACCTCTGCTGCAGTCTGTAGTTTTTGTATTGTTTGTGCACACTCCTCTTCTTGTCTTTTTGCTCTTGTTTCAGCCACTCTAAGAGCTTGCTTTAATTTGAACAGCTCAGTGTCAGAAGTTTGTCTCTCCTAAACACCGAAAATTAGAAGCATCAAGAATACAACTCAGTTAACTTGGTGGGTGCCAGTCATAAGCCTTGATCTATATATGACTCACTGCACACTCAAGGCAGATGATTGTGACTTGTCCCAAAGATTTTAAGAGTTTAAGTTTATGGCAAACATGGTGATTTAACTAATGACACTGTATCTAAACCTGTTATATGATATCATACCCTTGGTTTGATGTCCAGCAGATTTGTACTGGGTCTGTGTTCTGTCTGGAGCAGATCCATGTGGGAGTCCATTCTCTCCTGAGCCTCCTGAAGCCACTGCATCACTCCTGTCTGCCTGAAGGGACTCAGCCCTCGCCCTGAGCGTAGATCTGACTGGGGTGAAGGAGAAAAGGAGCGTGGAGAAACATTTGGAGCCAGATGGGACAGAGATTGCCACTTCCTTAGGCCTGGATCAGTCTGTCTGAAACTGCCAGCACCTCCAGATGAACTATAATTAACAAGTTGATATAATTAGTATATAGAACATACCAGACCACTCCTGGAGTGTACGTATATCACTCCTATTACTTTGCCATACAATTGAAAGTTGCTTTACAATTTTTCCCAGTAACACTTCTGAACGCCTCAGAATCTGAATCTTAAGCTGTCAGAGCTAATATGTGTAGAATATTATTCACTTTTAATCTAAATGATTAATGTTACCTTGTGTTGACTTTAGATAGAAATCCTGATCCAGAAACTGTGGCTGTACCACACCAAGCTGAAGACTATGATGAAAATATTATCACGTTAATCCCATAAATAAATCATATTGTAGCCTCAAGTTTGCCTGCATCTTACCTGAGCTGTGAGGTTGGTGTCCCACATGTCCATATCCAGGAGAGAGAAAGGACTGCTATTTCTTTCTGGTCTGTACATCTTTGAGTGCCCAGTTGTGAATGAGCCCCTTTCCTATCAGCATCTATCCACACAGTGCACCGTCACAGGGAGAGATTTTCACACAGAGGTGGCAGTTCAAAGCACGGTCCTATTCTTAGATCATGTTTCTCAATATTCCAGTTGTGTGTGTCAGCAACCAGTTTTAACAATATGCAGATTAATGCTCTTCTGTAAATATGTTATTCATATGTTATTTGTTGCACTCTCCTACAATAGCCTACCTTTCTTTGGACAAATCTTTTGCCTGTTCTCTAGAAACACTCACTCAAAGCTGGTAAACACAGCTTTAATTGCAGTGTAGCCTACTGCTCTTGAAGTGGTGTCCATGGAGACCCCAGTACACAGGACACTGTTGAGAGGGTGTGTCTCCCATCCTGGGATATTATCCACATAATATCACACATCTGATAACTGCTTTTAAATAGATATCATCAAAATACTTAGCTAGAGGAAAATGGTGTAGAAAAAGTTGGATTTTAATGGATGTGTTAAGTAACATATGGGTTTTATTGTTGCCCTTAAAGAACTTCATTAAAAATCATTTTAGCATTTAGCCCTAAGTTTCTCTAAATTAAAAATTATGAAGGGTCATTTGACATCTGCTCTCAGCACACACACCACCATAGACTATGCACTCTACCCAAATAGACAGTAACATCCGGACACATACCTGTAAAAGAAGGCTAAAATTGAAGCAAGTAAAATACTCTCAATATTTAGATTTTTATATATATATATAATCCATGGATCTGTCTATGAATCTCTCAACCAGAGAATAATGGATCTTTTATTGCGGATAAACGCAACCGGAAACCATTTAAGGAAAGACCGGAAGTTGTTTCCCAGATTTCGTAGAAGCGATAGCATAGCATCAAGGAGCTAACAAGTGTTTACAGTACATACGTACCTTGTTTATTGGCCAGATAGTCGTAGTTTCGTATACCAAGGTATCGAAAGGCACTTACAGAATAGAAATTAAAGATAATACTTGAAAGTACAGGTATGTATGTAATGATGTAAGACCAATGCTAATGCTACACTTAGCGAAGCTACTTCATCAAACGAACGCATTTTATTCCTCCCAAAACAGCTTTTAATTCAAGTGATTTATATCTCATATTGCTTGGTAACTTAAGTAATTTATTTTTGTATATATGTTAGAAATGGCTGCTGATTGGTTGGGCAGTTTGGTGTCTATTAATTGCGGACCAACTCTGGGGGTGTACCAAGGAGAAGTGTCATCCGTGGACCAGAGCAGTCAGACTATTTCACTGAGACAGCCTTTCCACAATGGAGTCAAATGCCCAGTTCCAGAGGTGACGTTTAGGTAAAGTGCACAGCCATCCTCGCTTCTCGTGTTGTGTTCTTAAATATTTCATAACTCCTCTTTGTTTTACAGCGCTATTGATATAAAGGATCTAAAGATTTTGGATTTTGGGAAAGGCAGCACAAGAAACAGCACCTCTAACAAGTCAAACACGACTCCAGTTGCTGTGCCAAAAGGTGATCCCCGAACTGTGGAGAAGGTCAACTCTCCTCAGCACTTTTCCAAAAGCTATGGAGAGCGTCACCTGGAAGTACCTGGTCAACCAAAAGGATTTCGTAAAAGACATAATTCATGTAAGTCTGATCATGCATTACTATGGCTTGTTAACAAACAAATAATAAATATCACAAAATTTAAAAAGGAGTTTTGGCACACACTTACACAATAAAAAAAAAAAATCTAATAATAAGTAAAATGTTGAAAAAAAGAAAAGAGAGAGAAAATGCTTGTGTGCAGAGTAAGGCAGTGCCTCATTTTTTTAATGTGAGCCTTTTTTTGTTCTTTCCTCCTTAGGGTCATCAAGTAGTCGAGGAGCAAATCAAGTCACACCAAAAAAGAACGGAGTCAAAAACGGTGGTGGCCAAATGAAGCAGAGAGATGATGAGTGTTTTGGTGATGGAGTAGATGATGGCCTGGACACTGACTTTGACTTTGAGGGAAATCTGGCACTTTTTGACAAAGCTGCAGTTTTCTCAGAGATTGACATTTCAGAGCGTCGAAATGGAGCGAGATCACGAGGGACACCCCAAGACCAGACGCCTTCCCGCTATCGCCACGATGAAAACATCCTGGAGGCCAAACCTATTGTGTACAGACAAATTGCAGTGCCTCAGCCAGGGGACAAGGAATACTGCACTGGTAAGTCTCTCCAATGTATACTTCATAAATGGAGTAACAAATTGTGCTATAAGTGCTTTTGTGTTTTTACAGATTCAGGGCTTGTGGTCCCAAGTATTTCCTATGAGCTGCAGAAACGGCTCTTGGCTGTTGCAGAGCGATATGGACTCTCATTGGATAGAAGACTTGAGATGACTGGTGTTTGTGCAAGTCAAATGGCGCTTACACTGCTCGGAGGGCCCAACAGGTATCCTAAACAATGCACTCAGTTATTAATAACAGACAGCTCCTTCCTTATAATATAATATAGTAGGGCTGGGCGATATGGATCAAAAAATATATCTCGATATATTTAGCTATATCTCGATATATACGATATATATCTCGATATATGTTCAAGAAAAAATAACCCCCTAAAACTGAAAACTGCAAAAACAAATTTGCCAATTCCACAAGGTCTTTTTTTTTATTGAAGTGTAAGAGGTCGGCAGTCATATAGGAACACTTAAGATTACAAAAACCCTAATTACATAAATAATAATTTAACTGTAAAATAAAATAAATAATACATATTTCCTTCTTTTCATTCATAAATAAAACAACTCAACACAAGCTCATCTTTGCATTAACTCTGTTAACCATCCCATAACCATGAGCTCATTTACCAGAAGAAGCTCAGGATGTTCCTTATTTCAATAGATCCATGTTATTATCCAGCAGTAAGGAGCTCTGAGGTTTCCCACAATTCACTGCAGATCAAACCCAATGTTTCCAAACACTATTGTACAAGTTACACTGAAGCAGATTATTAATAAAAATATTCTGCATAAATAAACTTTACATGACTAAACTTTACAATATATAAAGCATAACGACTCTAGAGCCACATCAGCTCGTTTGCGATAATGTGTTTAATGCAGTTTTGCGCACGTGTGTTTACATTTTACAGAAACCAAACTTAAGCGCATGGCTCATTTGCATAAACAGCGCACTTCTCACGCAGCTCAGCTCGTTTAGCTTCTTTTGGGCTAAAGGACGCGACTCGGTGGAATATGAGTATGTGCTGCTGATGTTCTTGTCTGTAAATGGTGGAAAAGGTTCGTGGTGCTTGAAGCTTTTCACTGGCACCAACTTTCGGCGTTCACGGCGATAGTGAGGAGTGAAGGAGACACTAGCGAACAAACTCAGGGAGGCGGAGGCGCGCGGGCGACGAGAGAAAAGGTAAACAAGCGAAGCGGGGAAATCAGAATTGAATATAAGCATTATATCGATATATACGATATGTCAGTTTTTAAACTCGATATGAATTCTATCTCGATATATTAAAATATCGATATATCGCCCACCCCTATAATATAGTAATATTATATATGATCATAACATAACTGATAACTAACAAACTACTGACTGATTCCAGGTTTACTCCAAAAAATCTCCATCAGCGCCCAACCGTGGCTGTACTATGTGGCCCTCATGTTCAGGGGGCTCAGGGCATCAGCTGTGGACGCCACCTGGCCAATCACGAAGTCGAAGTCATCCTGTTTCTGCCCAATTTTGTCAAGATGCTTGATTGTGTGACCAGTGAACTTTCCCTCTTCAACAAAACAGGAGGCAAACAAGTGTCAAATGTTAAAGGTAATCATATTTAAGCTTGGTGAAATTTAAATTTGTGTCTTTTGTACATTTGTTAGTCATTATGGTAGCAGCACGATGGCTGAGTGGCTGGCACTCATGCCTCACAGCAAGAAGGTTGCATGTTTCTCCGGGTTGGGTTTCCTCAGGGCGCTCCGGTTTCCTCCATCAACCCAAAACATGCTACATAGGTCTCCAGGAAGAATAGCTGAGGTCAATTAAAAAATATCTAAATTTATGTTCTCACACCACAGATCTTCCGGACACACCAGTGGACCTAATCATTAACTGTCTGGACTGCCATGAAAACACATTCCTGATGGACCAGCCTTGGTACAGAGCAGCAGCAGACTGGGCAAACCAGAACAGGGCCCCAGTCCTCAGCTTGGATCCTCCTGCAAGTGGACAGGGGCAGGCCGTGGAGGCCAAATGGTCACTGTGTCTTTGCCTCCCCTTCTCTCTGGCTGAGGGGGCTGGGAGAGTTTATTTGTGTGACATAGGTATACCTCGACAGGTTTTCCAGGAAGTAGGGATAAAATTCCATTCTCCATTTGGGTGCAAGTTTGTCATCCCACTGCATTCAGAATAATGGGACCAGACACTTGACACAATTAATGCTTCATTAAAGAAGCACAATGTAACTTTTCTGGCGGAGGGTTCGCCACATGCTTGAATCCATTGAGATGTTATTGGTTTACTTGGAATGTTCCACGTTATGTTTTACACTTGCACTTAGATTGAGTTACAGGTGTTATCATTGCTAAAACAAATACCATAAAAAACATCCTTTATTACTGTGATCAGATTTGTTACCATAGAGATTGGTTTAATGCCATACTATGGAACATTCCAGGCAATAACTTGCCCATTCTAAGAAGGTATTGGACCTACCTCCAGAAAAGTCACATCTTACCATACCATTTTGGGTTTTGCCGCCTTATCTTTGATCTTGGCCTATTTTGAAACTAAAGTTAACATGTTAAAAGTTCCGGGTTTAAAGTTAGGCCAGCAATAATTATGAATAGTTTTTTGTTATCTATTGATGATAGAGACATGTCAGTATCAATAGACAATCTTTACTTATAAAGTAAGGTCTAAATATTTACCTTTAATTTGACTTTGAAGCCAAACCCGTGATATCAATCACTTATATCCTGCCATGCATCGTTCCCTTGTTCTTTGTGTTTGTGAAATATGTTAAAATGTATTTCCATTGACACCAATGTGAAACAGGGTGCCTGTGAACCACCCTTTGAGGCAGCTGCTTGAGAGTATGGGATTGAGATTTGCTTATTAGGCTGCTATAACAAGGGCTCTACGACATATAGCAATGTCAGGTATTATTTGTTTAAGAAAAGCATTATGGCAGTGCAATCCATTTATTTTTTTACTTGCCACTGCATACAAAGCTAGCAGTGTACATTTCATTGAGTAGATTAGAGGGGGGAAACTGAAGATGTGGCTTTGATTTTATTTTATCTGTGAAAAAGATAAATAATGCATGACTCTTTCTATAAAAGGCCTTCAGTAGCTAATGGAGTGGCCGATGCATAATGTCAAAAGAATCTGAACACATTGTGTTGCTTTTGCTGCTTTATGGACCCTTACAGGGTTTGGGAGTCGGACCACATTGGTTTTTAATGTGTCCAGTAGTGAGGCACTTATGACAGTCTGAGCTATGGAGTCGGAACTGCCAACATTTTATACCTAAAAAACCCATTAAGTATTAAGTGGATTTTAATTGTATAAAGTGTAGCTTCCACTCAAGTTGGTATCTCAGGTTGATTGGATGACTGTGGTCAGGTTACTGTGTGATTACAGGGCACCTACTTTGGGGAAATTACTATAAAATGTACTAAGGCCTCGTCCTATTCCAACATTCCTCGGGCTTGATGTGTTTTGTCCCATCTGTTGAAACAAGTCTGGCTTCGCAACACCAGCAGCCAGTGTTATTGAATGTTCATTTTTGTCTTTGGCCGCCAGAGGGGTGTCTAAACAGCACTGCCTTGGCTCTTCCTTATTTCTCTGTTTGGGACAGTTGAAATTACAGTTTCTCTACAAAATGTGATTGTGAACATTGTCATATAAGAGGCGGTAATTACGATTTGAATCACAGATCACAATGTTGTTACAGTGCGGACTGACAAAAGGTAATGTTAAGACTTACAAAAGGAGTTACTTTTCTCATAACATCACTAGCACTCTACTCGACCAAATATGACAAGCATTTCCGTCTGGAATTGAAGATTATTGTCAATGTGCAAAAACTCTTATTTGTCAACTCTGCAAAAATAAATCTGCATAAATAAACACATGATTTCATTTATTGCCCTGAAGGGAAATGGCTATATATTGCTAAAACCTGCCTAAAATGTGCACATATCCTATTTTTAGTCTGGTTTACCATTAACGCGCATGTGCAAAGCCAAACCAAGGTGGGGCGAAAAGTTGAATGTTTCTGTCGGCGAAAGCGTTTAGAATTGGGACAAGAATGAAGTTACGTTGAACAAGTGAAAGTGAACTAAAAGAACGGGAAATCGTTCGCTTCCTGCATAGGTTTATCTTTCTTAAGAAGATAAACCTTTTGCAATATTATATTTGATGTAATTCATTTGCATTATCTTTTACATTGGTCGTAAAGTTGGACTCATCACTGTGCGCTTCTGGACTGCGGCAGTTGCGTCATTGGAGATATTTTACTTCCTTGCCATAGAACTTTATGATCGTGGCTCGTCCTCTGCCGTGACTGTACCAGAATGTCTCTCAAATGAGTCTCAGGACACCGCTAATTAACTTGAACTCAACACGGCTCTGTGAATAGGTAAGACTTCTAACTAGACTCCCCATTGCTTCTTAGTGCAACTCAATCTTTTCTTAATTCTAGATCAAGATGTGTGTCTCTGTTGTCACCCTTATGCAAACATTGTATGACTGTCACACAGAGACTTACACATACATACATGCATGAGTTTCAGTGAATTTATTGTAAAATGCAACCATAATTTGTTTGCAAAGTAGCAGGGAAGTTGGAGAAGAGAAGTAATGATTGTACTAGTGTAGCATGTAGTAGCAGTGCTCATAGGTATTTTCTTTTTAGTTGCTTCATAATAGGCTAGGCATAAGGCTGCAGTGAATTATTACATTGTTTTTTGAGTGCTCTGCTATTTCCTGATGTGCAACAGCTGCTTAAGCTCACCACTTCGCCCTGCCTGGCATAATGTATGTCATTTTGTTAACTCAAAAGTTATCAACAGCACCACAGTGTATTGGCTACTTGCACTATCTAAGTAAAGCAAGACTAAGTGAGGCATACTTTAGATTCCAAATAACTGTTTTAATTGCATTGTCTCCTGGAGGAAGTGCTGTGTATGCATGGGGCCCCAACAGTTAATCTTGATGCCATTCATATAGTGTCAGTTTCAGGAAATGGTTAATCATAAATGGTGGAAAAGTCCCACTGTATGAGCGCCCAATACCAAACAAAAGTCATCTGAAAGCAGTTTTTGTCTGAGAGGAGCGCGCTTCTCTGGCAACAACAAGATCCTCTCAACAACTTGACTGACTGCAGATTGAGTTTGAAGTAGCATTGCACTAATGTCATATTTTACTGTGCTTAGGGCTGCTGTTTTCTTAAAACTAGCTGGATAGTAATAGTCAAATCATTGTTGAAGGTTTACAGAGAGAGAGCGAGAACTTTGGACTGCTGTAAGTAAATTGCCGAGCTAAATTGATGCTGGTTTATTCATGTGTTTGATGAACTACAAATGTGAGTTGCAAACAATATAGTAACACAACTATTAATCTACTTAAAATGGATATGTTATTTAGTTCAGTATTTTTTTTAATGCATTTTTATTGTTTGTTCTATTAACTATTGTCAAATGCATATTAATATTTTTTTTACTTCTGTAATTAGCAACCACCTCCTATTGAACTCATTGAGTGAAAGCTCCCACAGTATCAACTACAATGTCACGTCACGTCCCCAGGTTTATTAAATATGTCCTCAGTATCACCTGTGACTTTTATTCCAGATTAATTGAGATCCAGATGAAGTCATAGCACAGTACACAAAATAGCAGGAGCTGTGCTCTATTGGTAATAATGACAATATTCTGTAAAGTACTAGAAAAATAATAATAATACACTATATAATACAATTAAGGTTAAAGCATTATACCATTTCTTGGGCCTCCATTACAGATGTGGGCGGGAGCTGTTAACGTTTAAAGGAAGCCAAAGATGTTTCTATGTTCTTGTCCTGTCTTGCTCTGAGCAGTGGGCCTATTACCAATTGGAACAGTTCAGCTTCTTTCATAAGTAAATAGCACTGACATAATCTCTTTGGCATGCTCTAATTGTTGCACATATAAGAATTCATATATTTTGCATGTTCACACTATGCAGTTAACTTTGGGTTGTGTACTGGCATGAACTTCAAGTGTTAAAATCAACTAGAAACTGGTATCAAAACAGTTTAGTGAGCAACTTTTCAAAAAATAAGCAATAAAAAAGTTGATACATCTTTATCAAAGAGAAAAGAAATATTACATCTATCTTTGAAAAACATTTACAGTACTAGTAATATATCTATGATGACCAAGCAGAAACCATTTTGACTGTGAAAATGGGGTTGGACATTGAGTGAAGGGCTTGTAGAAATGGTCTAACAACAGCAGGCTTGTTTTTAAACCATGACCAGAGTAAAAGATCATTCTGTGGCAGTGTATGGAGAGAGCTCTAGAGACAGCATTGACAAGTCCATTGAGTGTGTGGCCAGAGACGTGAGATGCGTAAAGGAAATGTTAAAACTGAGATAGCTGTCAAAATGAAATCTGAGTTGAATAACATCTTTACTAGACACAATCAGGCATAAAACTAGATCTAAACAAAATCCTGGAGTCAAAAAGTCCCAAATACCACCACAACAAGTAAAAGAATATACAAAACTGCAGACTAATACACCACTTGTAGATGGGAAGCTGATTTCTGAACCCATGTGTCATATGTCACTGAGAGGGAAGGAGCAGAGATGCCTGTTGGTGACTGTTTTAGCTCATTCCTGGGTCGTCAGGCGTGGGAACTGGGGCTTTGTCCCTCGATAGAGAGATCCAGCTGCACGGATCCAGAAAACATCTGCCACTCTGACACTGAACAATGACCGGTGCTATAAAGTAGGAGCAGTGTGTGGGAAATATTTTAAACATTCCTTAGTATGAAGATATTTATTTATTTGGCTATATAATAGGGTTGTCAAAAGTATCTAAAATCAGATAGTAATTGATACTGAATCCAGTATTAGGAATTGATATGTACAAATCACATGAACTGGATGAAATTAGATCTCTCTAGAATAATTTTGAGTTTCATCAGAAGTAGTGTAAAACCATTTGGTATAATAAACAAACACAAAACAATTTTTTAAGTATAAAAATAACAATATTGTCAAAAAAAGAGCTTTTGGGTATCAATATTAGTAGAGTCTATTCTTTAGTATTGAAATAGTGTTTGAAATTTTAGTATTGTAACAACAATAGTAAGTACAAAATACATATACAATAATGAATAAGCAATAGAACAGGAGCACTTAAATGGTTTATCATGAAAAATATAAGATGAAAACTTGAGCATTAGCATTTCCAAGACCTATGACCTCTGCTAAGGCACTGGCTCTGTCTTAAATCCAAGACATGGTGCCCAGACATGGACTTTTTTTTTGTTCAGGAGTGCTTTTTCAGATGAGTCACAGACTATTAAATTTACTAATTTCTCACATCAGATTGACACTACTGCACCAAACTATATGTTTTAATATCATCTACTTTACTTGAACCATAACATGACTTCCTCTTGTTCAGGCCACGTAATGTTATACACGTCAGTGCTCCATAGATTGACTAAATATGGACACAATCTCATGCCTCTGAAAAATGTTTCGTTCTTTAACTCAAGAACGACCAGCTTTTCTCTCTGTGACAGCAAACTCCTGTCTAAGTCATAGAAAAATAAATGAATGGCTGGTGACCTATTGGATGCCCCTCACACCCTCCTCAATCCCCCCAAGTCCTGCCCACTTCCTGTCTTCATGCGGCATCAGTTCTCATGAGGGGGGATCCACTGCTTTGGGAAAAATATATAGGCCTACAACACAATCTTCTCACTATACTCTACTCTGCGTGATGTTGATGTCAGATGGCATGCAAAGTCATGGAGATGTTTTCACCTTCCAACGAAGTCTGTATTCTTCTGTAAAAGTAAACACATGCATTACTTTTAGTTTTATTTTTTGTATCGTTTAGATCCAGGTCTGGGTACAACATCTTTGCCAATTTGAGTTGTACAAAAGTTTCACACAGGCTTGTAATTGTACATTTTATACTCACACAAGAGTATAGACGTATATTTATACTGCTCAGTATTTCCCCTGATAAAGAGTACAATCTTACATAATACTCAAATTACAGTGGTTTACAATGGCACAGAATAGTCACATAGTGTCTAAACTGTAATTATAACTTAATTTTTAGCCCATGAGGTAATAATAGTACATCATAAAATCTGCATGTTTTAAATAAACTGTGGTCTCTATGTAAATTTACATTTGCACTGCATCATGGAAACTGTCTCTCATAGTTGTGAAAGTACAAAATTAAAAGGACGTGTTAGTTCTGCTTTTTGTATCAGGGAGTTATTTTTAGCCACGTCCACGTTTTCCTGAGAACAATTACTAACAATTGCTACAATGACCAAACACTTCCCGACAGACTAAAAATTATACTTACAAATATATTTTTGGATTAATATTAGTTTTAAGGGACATTTGTTTTGTTTCCCTTTGCAGGTATGTGCGGTTGTTCGCTCTGATGGTGACAGTCAAATAACATCAGTGAGAGGGTGCCATTGCCTCAGTATGGCCGAGGTCCAGGTAAAAAGACCCATCAGTAACACACAGGCACAAAATAATGTCTATGTATTTCACATTTGATTGGGACTGTATTATACTCTTGGTACTGTAGGCTCCATGGCCACCGGGCACTGAGTGTGTGGCCAGATATAACTTCAAAGGCACTTCAGAGCAGGACCTGCCCTTCAACAAAGGAGATGTGCTGACTATTATAGTGGTTACAAAGGTAACATTACATGCCTCAGAATTGTGTAAAACCACATTTTATTCACCGTAACACAAACAGTTGTACATCTAAATCATGAGTAGAAAGAAGATTACACTGTTAGTAAAATATCATTTCTAATGTTTGGTGGAATTATGGATTATTTTTAAAATCCCTTTCTCTGTTTTAGGACCCAAACTGGTATAAAGCTAAAAATGTGGCCGGCCGGGAAGGAACCATTCCCGCAAATTATGTGCAGAAAAGAGAAGGAGTGAGATCGGGGTGCAAACTCAGTCTCATGCCGTAAGTGAATGGATTAATCTAGACCACTGTGACTTAAAGCAGCCTCTCCCTGAATCTGTTCATGAACTCTCAAGGCAACTAAAGCTGAAAGACTGGTATAACCTTACACAACAACTATCTGAATACTGAAGAGCAAGTACAGTTAGTCATGTTTATTCCCCCTTAAACGAGTAGTTAGGAGCAGCTTCTCTGTAGTTATATGAGATATGTTTAAAATAAGTTGCCAGTGTCTGTGTGGTGCTGCTGGTTTAAGGCTGGAACTGTAGTTAAACAAGGGTAGACCACAGTTAGGTCAGGCTGTGGTGACTGCAGTCGACTTGAAACTGTTTTCAGCTCAAGTTTTGTGTGAATGCAGTACAGTTTCCTGTTGTTTCTTTTCAATCTCAGACATTAAGTAATCTTCAAGTTCAGCCACAAAGTTGCAGATTTACTATGCCATGTAGGATGCTATATGTGCACATTGACATTTTTATATTATCTGTAACAAACTACAGTGTAATACTTAAAAAAAAAAAAAAAGTGAAAAGAAAATGTGTTTTTTAGTGCATTTACATAATTGTTATAAATGAGAATGACTAAAACCAGGGGCTTAATAAGATCTAAACCAGCACATAACCTTGACTAATTTATGTTTAGGTCATTACCAAGATTAATCATTGATTTAACATAGAATAGGATGGTCCAAATTGGGATTGGAACAGGTAGGAGCAGGTAGCTACACAACAACCTCTTGTTCATTGCATACCATAATATACTTTGATTAATTGCTGTCTACCCTTCCAGATGGTTTCATGGGAAAATAACTCGAGACCAGGCTGAGAGGCTGCTTCACCCACCAGAGAAGGGTCTGTTTTGGTACGAGAGAGCACCAACTTCCCTGGTGACTATACCCTGTGCGTGAGCTGCGATGGCAAGGTGGAGCACTACCGCATCATCTACAAAAACGGCAAACTAACTATAGATGAAGAGGGCTTCTTCGAAAACCTCATGCAGCTGGTAGAGGTACTATATTCAACTACTGCTTTAAAAATTAACATTGAAGGAAAGAAAAAAGAATTCCTTAAATGTATATATAATTTTACAAAAAAGTATGTGACATTATATGTCCTGTGTGGTAACCTAATAAACTGTTATCAACTGATTCCAGTTACCAGGTCAGAGGAGGTGCTTTTTAATGTCAGATTCACAAATCATTCAAATAAGGAGAGTTAGGTTGTAATCTAACCAAATAGTAATTGGTTTTCTGAGGCACTACATGACTTGTGAGGAGTAGGTTACACATTATCTTCTATTATAAGCGTAACTGTTATATTCAAATACATTACAAATTGTTCAATTTGCTATGCTATGCAGTTTATGAACTACAGTATACTAAATGGAGACTCACTCTAAACATGGTAGGGTTTCCTGTGCTGCTTGTCTAAGGTACCTCTCGACCGCATGCAGTTCCTGGAACAAATAATGAACCGGAAGTGTCAAAGAGGAAGAGTGCAAAGAATGCTTAGCTTCAGACTTTTAACTTCAAACACTCTGTCAAAATTGTCTCAAGTGCGAGGCACAAAATTTCCAATATTGTATTATAGCTAAAATATGTTTATTCGTTTAATATAATGCATTTTAATGTGTTGAATATGATCACTATTTTGCTTGGACAGCCCTCTGTTGGTCACTGTGTAGCATTGCTCAGTGAGCTCACAACTACTACTATAGCTCAAATATAGTTACAGTTGCCAAAAATAAATCCAAAACTAGAAAAGCACTCAGAGAGCGTAGACCTCCGCCAAGGACTACCCCAATTTTTTATATAAATTGCGATAAAATCAGTCTTCTGGATCAGATCCGGATCAGCCTTTGGAATATGAAAGCGGATCCCATTGTCCATCCCTGAGTCAAATTTCATGGGGTTTGGTCAATAATTAACGGAGATATTGAGAAACAAACTTTTTGGCCCCATTTACCACAATGTTAACTAAAATTTCAAAGTGATCCAGAATCCAGGATTTCTTCCGGATCACCCCCAAAATGAAATCAGTTCTTCCTTTTCACATTTCCAAGAAATCCTGAGAATTTCATCAAAATTGGTCCATAACTTTTTGAGTTATGTTGCTAACAGACAAACAAACAGACAAACGCTGGCAAAAACATAACCTCCTTGGCGGAGGTAATAATGTTATTTTTCCTTAAATCATATTTTAATATCTGACTTAAAATAAAAGAATGCAAAGTGGACTTTGGACACTCAAACATGGTGACCTGAAGACTTCCGTGCAATTAATAGACTTCTTTTTGACAGGAGCATGAATAATTCATAATTTAATTATTGTTACCAGTACTATATTGTACTTTACTAAACTCAAGTTCTAGATTTGGTGTAATTAATCTACTATTTTGAAGTACAATGTTTTCAATGACTCTTACTATATTTTACATAAAGCACTACACCAAAGATGATGATGGCCTGTGTACAAGACTAATCAAGCCAAAGGTTGAGGAAGGGGCAGTGGCGGCTCAAGATGAATTTTCAAGAAGTAGGCAATTTTCAATACTCATTCAAATATGACTTTACTTTAATGATACATGATTTATTTGAATGTTGTTTTTTAATTGACCACAGGTGGTTGGTCACTAAACAGAAGAGACCTTGTGCTACAGTCTGTTATTGGAAAAGGAGAGTTTGGAGGTGTGTGGTGTTAAAATACAAAAAGTTTACATTAGACTATTGGCAATACAATGATGTAAATTTGCATTTGCAGATGTCATGATGGGAGACTACAGAGGCACTAAAGTTGCTGTAAAATGCATCAAAAACGATGCAACAGCTCAAGCTTTTATCGCTGAAGCCTCAGTCATGACGTGAGCAAAATCATCACACCTAATATTTATGGATTAATAATGTTCATTACTAAAATTATTGTAAACTTGTCTAAAATTTTTTAGACAACTACGACATGAAAACCTGGTGCAGCTGCTGGGAGTGATTGTAGAAGAGAATGGAAGTCTGTTTATTGTAACTGAATTTATGGCGAAGGTGAGTCCTTCAAATATGCTATTCAGAGACATTTCCTTTTGCTGTATATCTAACTGTCTTGACTTTTCAGGGCTGTCTAGTTGACTACTTGCGTTCCAGAGGTCGGACGGTGCTTGGTGGTGATGCTCTCCTTCATTTTGCACTGTATGTACAGTCTGTATAGTTTGGTCATGTGCATTTTAGCCTGTCACTAAATCACATACATTTTAAGGTAGACTTTTTAACCCTTGTTTTTAGATGAGTTAGTTTTTATATTATTGTCATTGTAAATAGTTTTTATTGATTTTTCATTAAAATAGATGCACACATGCAAACATTTTTTTACGTTTGCTATTTCAGAAATGTCTGTGAAGCCATGGCTTACTTAGAGGCCAGCAACTTTGTCCATCGGGACTTAGCAGCACGTAATGTACTAGTATCAGATGACAATATTGCCAAAGTCAGCGATTTTGGTCTGACTAAAGAGGCCTCGTCTACTCAGGACACTGCTAAGCTGCCCATCAAGTGGACTGCTCCTGAAGCTCTCAGAGAAAAGGTATTTGAAGTGTAATGTAGAGTTGAGAGCTACAATTTGCAAAAATCTGACAATATTTTCAACAAATAGAAATTTTCCACTAAATCGGATGTTTGGAGCTTTGGCATTTTGCTTTGGGAGATATATTCTTTTGGCCGTGTACCTTACCCAAGAATTGTGAGTGCGATCAATCATATAAATTATGTTGCTGCAACAATAATAAAGATATATGTATTTTTAATTTGCTGTTTGTTTTTCAGCCATTAAAGGAGGTAGTACCTCGAGTTGAAAAGGGATACAAAATGGACTGTCCGGATGGCTGTCCTGAAATGGTTTATAATGTAATGAAACAGTGCTGGAACCTTGATCCTGACCTGCGACCGACCTTTAAGAAGTTAAAGGAGTGGATTCAACGTGTAACAGGCGAATAAATGTGACACATGTGACATTCCATTTTATTTTTACATTTTGTATTTTTTTTATACTATTGAATTTTGTATTGTTTTTATTATCTGACCTCTCCATTGGCTTGATGTCAACAGAAATTATCACCATCTCTCTCTTTGCTCTGTGTTCAAGAGTTATAAGATTTTCACTGATATGTTGCATAAAATTGATTTAATTTGTTACAAGAGAACACTTTTTGTAAACAGATTAAGGTACATTTTACATGTTGTATATCCTGTTAATATTAATTTACAATTTTGCCAGCAAAATTTGAATTACTTGGCCTACTCCCAAACAGGAAGAGTTTGGATTTTACTACTGATGTATAACTTTTTTTTCTTTTAAAATAAACAATAGCTATTTTATAGCTTAATTTATGCTTATGGAAAATGTCTTTAAGGACCTCTATTTTGCTTTATACCTTAGTGAATTTTGACCTCAGAAATGAAATGGAATGTGTCCACAAATGTGGAAGAAAACTTCTGGATTGCTATGTGAAATAGAACATTGTCAGCTTTGGCGAAGATAATGACATGAAAACGCAGGGACTGCTCACACATGCAAATCTCCTGGTGTGTTTTTATGTTCTTTAGTGAGGAAATAACATTGTGAGATTAAAAGAGATTTAGTACAAGACCTTTAACCTGGGACATAAAAGGCTATTTTCAATATTTTGCCCTTATGTCTGTAGCGTTAAATATATTTGTTGTACATTTGAGACCAATAACTTATATTAGCAGGAAAGGGACGCTAAATACAAATTGTGAGAGTATATAATGTATTCGGTGTGTTTTATTTATGTAACCAGCTTCAGGCGGAACTAATAAGGGCAATGGAGGACACTTTTTACGTTGCACAGATTTTAGTGTCACTTAAAAATGTTCCCTGAAAACAGATGGCAAACCCACTGCTGGATGCGACGACGAACAGGCAGCAGCTCAAGGCACAAACTCTGTCTTATTTTAACTATTATTGATACGTCTGATGGATAATGAGGCCGATACGTTTTATCGGGAGCTTCCCAAAGTGGTAAGTCAATATTATGCTAAAATATTTGAAGATTACAGTCGATAAAGTGCTCAAAAGTGTTGTATTGCTGTTGAAGCTAAGTTGCTAACGTCAGCGGTTTTGACTTGTCACTAGGAGCTTCACGCGCACCTGAACGGCTCTGTCAGTTTCCAAACGATCGAGAAACTGATCCGCCGCAAACCGCAGCTCAACATAGAGCACAGCATGACCGCAATCGGCAAAGGCCAGCGCAGAACCCTGGACGAGTGCGTAAAACATCACTGTAAAACGAACTATAAAAGTAAAAACAATCCAGTGTAAATAAATTATTCATTTTTGCTTTTTATATATAGTGTTAAATCGAATTAATCCCTTTCTCGAACACGTGATCCATTATTATTACACTAACTAAGTTGACAACTGTTCAGTATATGATTTTAGTATGTGCAATTTACATCTGCAGGTGTTTTCAAGTGTTTAAGGTCATCCATCAGTTAGTAGACTCAGAAGAAGACATCTTTATGGTAAATGGCGGTATACTTATTTTTTTTAAAGAATGTGTATCTATTCATATGTTTTCTATTATAGGTTCATAGGAGGGTAATTTCAATTTTGCTTTCAGGTTGCCACAGATGTTATTAAAGAGTTTGCAGCTGATGGGGTCAAGTATTTAGAACTTAGAAGTACACCCAGAGAGGAGACAGCTACAGGTACATGTCGCCCCACAAAACGTTTCATTTGCTATATTTAGCATATTTATTTAGTGTGTTTTTTGAAGGATTGACGAAAAGAAGATACATTGAAACGGTTATAAAGGCCATCCAACAGTGTAAAAAGGAAAGAGTGGATATTGATGTAAGGTATGTTATGCATATAACATGCCTGATGATGTGTATTCCAAAACAACACATACACTAACTTTAATAATTGAACTGAAAGGTTTTTGGTGGCCATTGACCGAAGGAATGGGAGTCAAGTTGCCATGGAGACAGTGCAGCTGGCTGAAGAGTTCTTCCTCTCCTCCGATGGTTTGGTCATTGGTATCGATCTCAGTGGTGATCCAACGGTCAGTTGTTCAGTTTATTTCGCACTATAGTGTTACCCTGGGCAATCACTTTAGCTCCAAGGGTACAACTTTTACCTTTAAGTTATTGGATAAATATTTTCATTCAAGGTGGGCCATGGGAGAGACCTTCTTTCTGCACTACAAAGGGCCAAAAACAGTGGGCTCAAACTATCACTGCACCTCTCTGAAGTATGCTTCAATATTCACAGCCAGTTTAAATATGCCAGAAAATATGCCATTAACAAACTTTGCCATAGGTGCCATCACAGCATGATGAAACAGATCTGCTGCTGGATATTCCTCCAGACAGGATTGGTCATGGCACTTTCTTGCATCCTGAAATGGGTGGATCTCAAGGCCTTGTTGACAAAGTAGTGCAGAAAAACATACCACTTGGTAGGACTTACTTTAACATCTCCTCTCTTCCATTGGATAATGGTCAATTATTTCTCTGGATCTTTTTTTCAGAACTGTGCCTGACCTCAAATGTTAAGGGACAAACTGTACAGTGTTATGCTGAGCATCACTTCAAATACTGGTACCACATGGGACACCCCATTGTGATTTGTGTAGGTTTTTACAGCACTTATTGTCATCCAGCATGTCCAAAAACAAGGTTCACAATAATTAGTGTGGTAATTTTATTTTATATTATGTGACAGACGGATGACAAGGGGGTTTTCGCCACGGATTTGTCTCAGGAATACAAAATGGTAGCTACCACCTTTGGCCTCAGTCGTGAAGCTGTTTGGAAGCTTTCGCAACAAGCCATTGATTACATCTTTGCACCTGTTTCTGTCAAAGAGCAGCTAAAGCAGAAGTGGAGAAATCTACAGCCTCAAGAGTTTAAATGAGTCTTTTTGTAGAATATGTAACCCTCTAAATACCTCAGTTTTACAGTTTTAACACAACTTATTTAAGTTTTTAGAGAAAAATAGCAAAAACATTGCTCAAATAAATTGAGTATTTAATATAAAAAGTGTTCATGTCTTTTTTGCAAAATCCTAAGCAAATAAAAGAGATTTAATTTCTACACTGAGAATCAAATAGGATTTCTTTGATTTTGAATAACAGTCCAAAATGTACATGACATTAAATATTAAGTCCATTAAGTTTATTCATGCCCTTTTCCCAAATTTGCCATGTTTGTCCTTGTTTTTCTTTAACTTTCCATGATGCATCTCCTTTCTCTTAATTTTTTCATGCTGGGGTCCTCCATTGCTTATGGCACCTCCACCTTCTAGTTTCCTCTTCTTATCACTGATAGAAGACAAATTATTATATTAGAATTATATCACACCTTTATATATTTACTATTTAGCTCATCTCTGTACCTCTTGATACTGACTACAGCTCCTCCTCCTTTTTTCAAGGCCTGGTCCCATTCATCATCATCCCCTCGTATCCTGTACCTATGGACATGAAAACTTGTTGAAATATTTCAATGTCCATAGTCTTGTCAACTCTTAAAAAGATACTCACTCTTCTAGGTCCAGGTCTTTCACTTTTTCTAAATCCTGTTTGTGCCTTTCTTCAAACTCTTTGGCTGCTTCATTCTGTTGTGAAAATAGGACAGATTTATAGCTTTGAAATGCATGCCTAATGATCATACAAATCCTAATCCACTTTAAGGACAAAATGCTGAGATATTCCACACACAATTACACGTCAAAGCCATTAAAGTACAAAGTATGCATATTTCTAAATAAATAGATATCATACATGGTATTAATACTTTATAATCACATACCAGATCTTCATTAAGACTGCAAACTGTAGGCTCCATTGTGACATCTTTAGTAGTAGCCATCTGTGCTTCAATTGCCTTCTCCTGGATACTGGTGAAGACCTGAAAGAGACAAGACAATATTATTTGACATAAAAATATAGTGAACACAACATGCAGTTTATCAGATAATAAGATTTATAAGATTTACTCACTTGGACAAATTTACGGATGAGACGATTGAAAAGGCCCATGAGCTGTGAGCTGGGAAGGTCTATTTCCTTTTCCAACTGTTCCACTGATTTGTGCTGTAGTCCTATTCCCAAAAGTAGAGCCTAGACACAAAAGCGCAGGCATGAATTAAAACTAGTCATCTCATTCAAAGTGTGCTAAGTTAAAAGTTATCTTACACTTTGAGCAGCTGAGAGGGAGAGCTCTCCAAGTTGCCTGAGGAAAAACATACGTGCCACAGCTGGGATCAGGTCCATGATGAGGTGATAGTCGACCATGCTTCTTGAATACAACTCCAAACGCTTTAGGTCGTAAGGAGTGAAAATCAAGGCCAGTTCAGAGCTGCCCAGTACTGTGTAGAGGCAAAATAATTTTGTCATATGACAATATTAGAGACTATTAAGAGGTCATAAATAATTTAAACATTATGGAATATATGTTTATATAACACTTCTGTTAACACTTAACAATTTATGTTGAAATATAAAACAGGTAATTATAAAGATGTTGAACAATTCTTACCGTTAGTCTCCTCCTTGGCCTTTCTATTCTGCAGGATGCTGAGAGCCAGACTTGGATGAAAGCTGCTGAACTGGTATGACAGCAGGGAGAGGAAGCGTCGGCGGAAATCTAAAAATGACATCCATAATAATGTACAAAATATGCAACATATTATGATTATAAAGAAAATAAAAAGTTTACCCTTCCAGAAAGCAGTCAACCAGTGGCTCTGCTCTGGTGTTTCCTCCATATTCAGCTCCTTCAGCATTACACAAGAGTGCTCTCCTGTCAGGTCATTCTGATTGAAGACACAAAGTAAAAATAGTTGTACAGTTTTGGAGCACTGCAAATATTTATAACAATTCAATATGCTGTCACATAATAATGTGTATATACGTTTTTAGTAAACCAATATCTGTCTCAAATCTCACATTATAATAAATAATAAAATAAAGACTTACCGGTGTTTGCCGAAGATACACTGGAGTATAGCCTGCCTTCTTCCAAAATCTGCCATAATTGTTAAAATTTTATCGTAAGGACACATGTACAATCTGAACATCTAGCACAAATACTATGATAAAACTTACTTGAGCAGTTGAGCAGTGAGGCCATAGGAGACTCCAAGATAGTCCAGTCTTTCTGCTCTTCTCTCACTCAACTTCAGCAGCAAAGGAGGCAGCTCCTTTCTAGGGGTGATCACCTCCTCCAGTAGAGTAACTGCCTGGATATAAATTAACAACATTTTGATTGTGTAAAAAAGTTAACAAGTTCAAGAATATAATTTCCAATATGTTTTTATCATACTTCGCTGCTAACTGGAGTTATTCCTTTGTGGTTTGTATGAGTGTCCTCATCCAATGTTGGAAACTTGCCTTCATAGTACATTTGAAGGAGTTGGAGAGCTCTGGAGCCATATCCCATCTGTTCAAAACAAAGAAGTAGAAAAGTGATCTATTTAGGATAAGATTAAAAGGATGAGAATTATGGATGTCTAAAAATAAAATTCAGTGTTTTTATAGGTGTTCAAGAGTTAGCATTATTTAAGTAACTGTAAGTAAAAAAACACACGTACCCCTTGATAGTCTGGATTAACGGCTATCCGCACCACTCTGCCACCTGATAAACTGCCAAACTCCATGTCTTGAAACTGCAGAGATGATTTGAAAATTCATTTAGTTAGCACAGTACAGTACAGTACAGTACAGTGCAAACAGTACAGCTTGTGTGTTTGTGGACAATACCTGCTCTGAAACAGTCCATGGAATCAGGTCCCCAGAAGCTTTCTTGCCTCTTGAGAGACTGTTGAGGATGGACTGCCGGGAGATTTCTCCTTCTAGACAAACCTAATGATCATACAAATGTGATGTGCTATGCTGAATAAAATTATAAGTACACTGAAAACGGTCAGAACAGGCAAAATGTACCTGAATCACAGCTAGAACCTCTGGGAGGGAGTTCTGTGTTGGAGGGACTGGTGGCAAAAGACAAAAGAGGTGATGAGCAGGAGCATCCGACAACATCTGCAGGTCGTTTGGAGAATTCTGTAGAAAAGAAATATACATTATACAGTCAGATAAATGTCCACATCTTAAATGTGTATGATAATACTTGGCATGATAATAATACATGATCTCACCTTGTAGTGTGATGCTACATATAGAGCCATTAACCTTTGCAGAAAAGCTTCGGATGCTTTGTGATAGCAGAAAAGTGTGTCTCTATTCACATAATAGCTGGAATAGTAGTTAAGGTGACAAAAAGAATTTCTTTTTAAAAAAAAGTGATCCACTTTAACTAAACTGTAATACCACTGGTAGCACCCCTTTATGGACATTATTATTGTTATTATATTATGAAGCTTATGTAAGTGTGATATAAATAAGGATACAGGTCACATGACTGAGGGAGTGGGCAGCCTGAGATGAGTCTGGGGATGCTGAGACAGTCGAGACACAGCAGATCGTTGAGCCATTTCTCCACAGCATCCCCTGGAGCATAACGAATCGACTCATGCAGAGACACTTCATGCAGGGAGCGAGCTAAAAGAAAGCAGAAAAGAAACATCAGGCAAATGTGGTTGTTTTAAGAGACATATTTATTAAAACAAAATTCACTCACCTGCCGATAACCTCGCTGTGTTTGTGTTCTTGTTTTCTGCTGATAAACTCTGCTGACTGTCGGCGCTCTGCTGCCTCAACTGCTGAATAAGTTTGAGGGAGAGAGAGCGCCCTGTTCCTTCATACCTACACAGTTATAATTAATTATTCATTAATCAAGGCAAATAAATCATTGTAGATTTGATATTTAATAAGTTTCAACTTACCCATTGATTGTAGAAGCCATGAAAACTAGATATGGTCCCAGTAGTTTCTTCACAAGAGGAAGAGGAATGGCTGCAGCTTCATCAATGACAAGAAGCTCAGCCTGGCCTAGCTTCACTGCATCCCCAGGGTGGATATACTGTAGGATGGCAAAATAAAAAGAGGTCACGGTAGTGTATTTTTAAATGAACGTGATCAGCTAAGACCTTTACCTGAATGGTCTGTCTATGCTCTTTAAAGATGTTCACTCTAACAACAGCTTTATTGAACTCTGGATTCAACGACTGGATGATTTCATAGTCAAGATGCTCCTATAAATCAGTGCAGGTGTAGATATATAGAGATTAAAAATAAATAAAATATATATTACATTAAATCCAACATCCAACCAACCAACCTGATACTGCAGGGAATCAAAGCCTTTAAAGATGAATTCAAACATTGTGTGAAGGTTGTCAGGGCTTGGTGATGTTACAAAAATATTGGAGTAGCTGTAATAATATGCAAAGAGACCAATTCCATAAAAAGGTAATTTTGCATACTTTTAAAATCAACACTACAAAGTTTTACCCAAAAGCCACTGCTCCAGCGACAGCCAGTCCCAGAGCTGCAGATTTTCCTCGACCACGAGCTGCAGTCAGAGCCACTGTGCTTCTCAGGGTCTTCTCAGTGATTGCCTCAATAAACTTCAGCACAGCTTTAGCCTTGACAAACAGTTTAGTTTATTTGTTAATTTGTTTATTTAAACTTTTAGCTACACAAAGAAGTCATATGCTTGTGCTAGGTTATAGCAAAATTGCTAATTTCCACCTTCAGTCCCTGGACAGGTTGATGTCATAGATGGCGAACATGCCAATAAAATACAATACAATGTATAGTGATGCAATCATTCATCCAGTCAAGCTAAAAGTAAAACTAGTCCCATTCAGTCTCAGTCACCACATCCATACATTATTTACATATTTACAGTTCTTATTGCTGCATTCGTACAGGACAGATTAATGTGAACAGGTTTGTTTGCTTAAAAGTCATTGTTTGGCCAGGCGTGCAAATATTTCATAATTAGTACATG